TTTGTGTGCTGGTGTATAGACCTTCTAAAGTCAGTATGACATTTATTCATGAGCTTTCTGAATTTCTGTCTAATCAAGTGTCTCGTTGTGACAGGTTGTTGGTCTTAGGGGACTTCAACATTCATGTTTGCTGTCCATCTAAACCAATGGTTAAAAACTTTATGAGCCTTATGGACTCACTCAATTTTGTACAGTCGGTCTCCAGTCCTACAAATAACAGAGGCCATACATTTGATCTTGTTTGGATTCGTGGTTTCTCTGTACATTTCTGTGAAATATTTGATGTTGGCATTTCTGATCATTACCCTGTGGTGTTTGAACCTGTTATTTCATATTATCAGCCCATCCTTTCTCGGCCTGTACATTACTCTCGTGCCTTTCATGCTAATACTGCTCTTGAATTTTATGAGTCTTATTCCAAGTTTCTTTCAAATTCTAATGCCCCTTTGTCATCTTGTATGGATACTGAACAACTGGTTGAAATTTTCAACTCTGCCTGTTGTACTGCTTTGAATACAGTTGCTCCACTTAAGCGTAAAAAGTGTAAGGTCAGTTCTAGTCCTCAACCCTGGTTAAATGCATCCACTCGTACTCTCAGACAAGAGTGCAGGAGGGCTGAGCACAGGTGGAAAAAGGATGGGCTCCAGGTCTCCTACCAAATTTTTAAAAACTGCTTAACTGCTTATCAGAATTCCGTTAGTGAGGCAAAATCCAAATATTTCTCAAACTTGATCGCAAAAAATGCCAATAGGCCTAAAGTTCTCTTCAAAACGATAAATTATGTTCTTAATCCTATTGTTTGCTCAGTTCCTGGTATCAATATTGAGACGTGCACACAATTTTCTGAATTTTTTGTTCAGAAAATACAACATATTAGATCACACCTCTCTCCTTTTGACATAGATCACTCTCATCTAGTTCATTCATCCAGTAGCTTTACAAACTTTCAGCCAGAGTCTTCATCTCAATTACTCAAAATAATTTCTCAGATGAAATTTACATTTTGTCAATCTGATGTATTGCCTGGTGGTCTGTTTAGAGAGGTTTTAAACACAGTCAGCCCCACCCTCTTAGCAATTATAAACAGCTCTTTAATAAATGGGGTATTTCCGGAGAGTTTTAAACATGGTATTGTACAGCCCCTACTGAAAGGCCCTCATCTTGACCCCACTGCGCATAACAATTATAACATACCTGAATACTTTTAATATTTTAGACCCGTTTCAATCTGGTTTTAGAGAACTGCATAGCACTGAGTCGGCATTGCTGAAGGTTACAAATGATATTCTGCTGTCCATTGATTCTGGGTCATCTGCTATGCTGATACTTTTAGATTTAAGTGCCACATTTGATACTGTCGACCACGATATTCTTCTGAAATGACTGTGTTGTTGGGGTTCAGGTCCTAGCTTTAGAGTGGTTCGCCTCATACTTAAAGGGGAGGACTTTTTCTGTAAATATCTGGTCATTTACTATCCATATTGTGGTGTTCCTCAGGGATCCATTCTTGGCATTCTTTTGTTTTCCCTTTACATGCTCCCCTTGGGCTCAATACTCCAGAAACATAACATTAATTATCATTGTTACGCTGATGACTATATCTTCCAGTCAAACCAGGAAATTACTTTTCATTAGATCATCTTTTCTTATGCCTTAATGAAGTCAAGACCTGGATGACCAAAAACTCTCTGCAGTTGACTGAAAATAAAACCGAAGTGCTTCTACTGGGCCATGCTGCTACTAACAACTCCATTAAAACACAGTTAGGTTTTCTAAGTAATAACCTACACAATTATGCAAAAAAATCTTGAAGTCCATTTTGATCCTCTTCTCCAATTTGACAAGCATGTAAATGCAGTTGTAAAGAGTAGCTTTTTTCATCTCAGATCAGTGGCTAAGGTGAAACTCTTTCTAGTAAAGACCTTGAAATTGTAATTCATGCATTAATTTATTCTCGATTGGATTACTGTAACTCTACTGTAACTCAGTATTTTTAACAATATGCTATTTACATAAGTGCAGATAGCAATAGATTATATTCATAGGTGGAGCGTGTGTAAGGCTGGGCAAGGCTTAGCCTTCCCCTGGCCACGGGTCTGGAATTTAAGGAGTTGGACCACCAAATTGGACAAATATGCACCTGTACAATTAAACTAAATCTTTTAGGGATGTCACGAATAACGTGAAAATGAAAAGTGTCAATTGCGGCATTAAATTTATATCTGCTAATGATGCATCACATTATGCGTTTTCACAGTGTTGCGCATTATATCCAATCACACATGTTTCTGTTGAGCTCATGAATGCAATGGCCAATCAGAGATGTTCAGATGAGTTATCGCTGTAACGCGGAGTTGTGTTGAGCGTGCGCAGGCTGACTGAATTCTAAACTCTCGCGAATTCTCTCATCATAAACACCAAAGTGGAAATGTACATACGATATAAGTAAGAGATTTATTTAACATTGTAGGCAGCTTTATTGATTATAACGGGGGAGTTTTTGAGCGTGCTTAAACTCACGCTTGACTGAAGTCAGTCATGTTCTTTGATAATGTAAATGTTCTTTGCTTGCGCTTTTTGAATAACCGTGGAAATGAAAGCGTTATAATTAGTAACTTACAATGTTTTTATTCAATTATGATCACGTTATATACAAATTCAGTCGTATTAAAACTATTTTGACACATGACACCCATATATGGTATTTATGGAATCCTCTTTCCGCCACTGTCACTGAATTAAAAAAAGTAATTGGACAGAATTAGAATTATCTATGAGATATAAACTCACAATTGCGATAGAGTAAAAATTGTGATAAAAAGTCGCAATTACCTTGTTTTATTTTTTTTCAGTGGGTAGGCCTGGTGAGCGTGATTTCACCAAGTACAACATGTTCCTGGATCAACATCCTTGTTGATCCTGGAACAACATTCCAATCAACCAATCAGAATAGAGTTATAACCTTTCAGGGAATATCTGTTTTAGGCTTACAATCAGGGTTAGGTGCTTCTACACTCTTGTTAATCAGCTATCATTTCCCACTGATTTTAGGAATAAATTATGGGTAGGGTTAGGGATTGGGTTAAAGCGGTCATATGATGCTATTTTAAAGATAATGCACCAAGAGCTTGTAACACTCCAAAGAGAAAGGAAAACTTGAAATCGCATCATATGACCCCTTTAAGTATATATTTTTGGAAATTAATGTTGATCCATTATCATCAAAAGATGTTGATCCAGGAACATGTCTTACTTGGCAAAATCACGGCGACCGGGTAGGCCTACCATATGTGCTTGCCTAAAAGACGGGGTTATGATGTGTAGGATTACACTAATATAGGCAAATTTTAGCCTTACCCTGGAGTTGGTTCACCCTCCGCCTATGATTCTATTTACACTATGTTAAAATAGCAGGATTTTCTGCTATTTATACTACTTATTGCATATAGTGGCAATTATTTGCACCTCAGTATTATCGTACATTATACAACAGTATGCAGTAATAACGTATTGAGTGTAAATTATAATTTTAATTCAAATTATTAAATGTATGCCACCTTATTTGGACAATAAAGCCCTCCCTACACCTAGCCTAACCCTACCCGATACTTTATTTTCAACTTTTTTATTATTTCCTTCATTTTTAATTAAAATAAATGCCTTTCCGATGTGATATGAGATTTGAAAAGGGAGAAAAAAAGTTCGGTAAAAGGTTTATTCGAACCCGGGTCGAACGCGTTAAAAAGACCACAGGACACACCTTACCATCTATGCCACTGAAACTGATAAGTGATTGTCTTGTTTTATATTCTTGACCATCCATAATCACACATTTGTGGGTGGAGTTAGTGTAAATAGCCTCTGCCAACAGGCGGGTTATTTGTTGCACTTTTTTTTACTCTCATACATAAAACACACTTCACAAAAAAGGAGAACATTAGGGGTGAGCCAAGAAGGAGAACTTGGTTTCAGATATTTGACGATGGAGAGAAACAGGCGAGAAAGAAATATTCTTTCATTCCAAATCAGTTTTAGTCCACAGAAAACTTACTTAAACATAAAAAAGGTGCTTCATGACAAATGTTCCTAAAAAAAAATGAATTTTTATCCTTATTTTAGAGCAAGGTGATGGATGTAAAAACTATTCATGGAAGAAGGCATGCATATATGTTTGTGGTTTTAATAATTATACAGTAGTCTCATTTAGTTAGTAATCTAGCTAGTTAGTTTAGTTCATTGAAAAATGTAAATAGTTTAGTTCGTTGAAAAAATGTGGAAAAAATGTGTGAAGAAAATGTGGAATTGAAACAAAACTGTTGTTATGAAAGAGACTGTGAGAGAGGGGGGGGGGACTATAGTGGGTGGATCTTGGCCAACTTCCTTCTCTCACAGTGTGTTGAACTACCAGATCAGTCAAGAGTCTAATCGGAGCGCTACACTTTTCTGCTATTTATACTACTTATTGCAAATAGTGGCAGTTATCTGCACCTCAGTATTATAGTACATTATACAACAGTATGTAGTAATAACGTATTGAGTGTAAATTATATTTTAATTCAAATTATTAAATGGATGCCACCTTATTGGGACAATAAAGCCCTCCCTACACCTAGCCTAACCCTACCCGATACTTTATTTTCAACATTTTGATTATTTCCTTCATTTTTATTGAAAATGCCTTTCCGATGTGATATGAGATTTGAAAAGGGAGAAAAAAAGTTCGGTAAAAGGCGGATTCGAACCTGGGTCGATCGCGTGAAAAAGACCACGGGACTCTCCTTACCATCCACGCCACTGAAACTGATTAGTGATTGTCTTGTTTTATATTCTTGACCATCCATAATCACACATTTGTGGGTGGAGTTAGTGTAAATAGCCTCTGCCAACAGGCGGGTTATTTGTTGCACTTTTTTTTACTCTCATACATAAAACACACTTCACAAAAAAGGAGAACATTAGGGGTGAGCCAAGAAGGAGAACTTGGTTTCAGATATTTGACGATGGAGAGAAACAGGCGAGAAAGAAATATTCTTTCATTCCAAATCAGTTTTAGTCCACAGAAAACTTACTTAAACATAAAAAAGGTGCTTCATGACAAATGTTCCTAAAAAAAAATGAATTTTTATCCTTATTTTAGAGCAAGGTGATGGATGTAAAAACTATTCATGGAAGAAGGCATGCATATATGTTTGTGGTTTTAATAATTATACAGTAGTCTCATTTAGTTAGTAATCTAGCTAGTTAGTTTAGTTCATTGAAAAATGTAAATAGTTTAGTTCGTTGAAAAAATGTGGAAAAAATGTGTGAAGAAAATGTGGAATTGAAACAAAACTGTTGTTATGAAAGAGACTGTGAGAGAGGGGGGGGGGACTATAGTGGGTGGATCTTGGCCAACTTCCTTCTCTCACAGTGTGTTGAACTACCAGATCAGTCAAGAGTCTAATCGGAGCGCTACACTAGCAATGCGAGTGGCGCACGTGGACCGCAGACTCTCCCGGCGACTTTAAAAAAATGTTAAAAGACATTTGCTGGATATACAGGTTCACACAGTTTAAAGTTATGTTTCGTTAGTCTTGTGTCTATTTCGATCAAGAAACTCTGTCGTATTTTCATTAAGATATCTGTAATTTTGAACTCGTGCTAAATTAATTTATAGTGAGAATGTGGGCGCTGTCAGAGCATTTTTTTTAAGAGTCACTCCACATCATTTGAGCTCATTATGGTGAACAAAGGTCCCCTTCTGACTTCGGCTATCATTTTCTATCTGTCAATTGGGGCAGCAATTTTCCAAGTAATCGAGGAACCGAACTGGGAGGCCGCAGTAAAGAATTATAAAGCATTAAGAGTCACTCCACATCATTTGAGCTCATTATGGTGAACAAAGGTCCCCTTCTGACTTCGGCTATCATTTTCTATCTGTCAATTGGGGCAGCAATTTTCCAAGTAATCGAGGAACCGAACTGGGAGGCCAAAGGTATTTTCCAAAGGAAAAGGACAAGATATTGAAAAAATATCCATGTCTTAAAAAGGCTGACCTGGACCACATTCTAGAGGTAGGATTACAACTGTTTGTGTGACCTTAGTTCTAACAAATGTTCAAAATTACTTGTTGCAACTCGTCTTCATGCTGGAGTGTAAACAGAAAGCATTCCTGTTGTTTTAATACATATAAGTTGTAGCCATCTGTGGGAAGCTTGTGCATTGCATTAGGTTGAAGTATAGTAATTGTAGTAATAGGGAGGAAAATTAAAATGAGTACACATATTCTACTTGGTGTTAGGTTTTTGCTCTCCTGTTTATTGCACCTGCTCTTTTAACCAATTAGATTTATTCAATATTTCAATTTGTAGACATACTATCCATGTCTCCTACAAATATTTTATCCACAGTGTTTTTGCATTTAATAAACTTAACCCTTTTTAAAACTCTTTGAGGCAGCACTCATGGGTCTCTGATAAGTTTTTTGCACATTAATGTGCATGTAGTTATGTTTAGGGAACAGACCCCTGTTAATGTTTGATGATGATGGGAATTGCTTATATGATGTTAATGTTAAATGTGTCAGCTTGAATTTTAGTATTTTAGAACTGGACAAAATGTGCAGGAATGTAAGGTGATGGCACACATGTCTCATTGGGTCATTTATTTATTCTGAAACCAGAAAAAAATGCATGTAGAAACATTCTCCTGTACCATCCCCCTAATGTAACTGACATTTGAGTGGATTGGGTATGTGTTGCCCCCAGTGAAATGACCCTTTTCAAACTGTGGTCGCATTCATTTTCACTTCTGTTGTTCTCTTTTGTTATGAAGTGTGAGGGACAGAGTGGGGTGAAAGACAACTTTGTGGTGTGAGGGTCAACTTTGTCAGCTGAGGAAGCTGTCTGCCAAATGATTCTTAAACACAACCAGTGCAGCACTTGCAACCCCAGGACAAGGTTGTTACAGCAGTAGCACCTTCTGAATGTGTAACTTACAACAATGAATATTAAATAAGCCACATAATTATTACGAAGTACCAGCAATGATTATAGGGTTGTGCAGTGGCTTACTGGTTTCTTACATCAACACAGTTCCAGCTTTTCACATTTCTGTAATTTTGTATTCCATTTGTTTTTTTTTCACGGTTGTGGTTTTATGATTTATGAAGCAACAAGCCTCATGTTTGAACAATTTTTTTGAAAGAAATAGACAAAGACCAAAAAAAACCAAAAAAAAACATTGCTGTATTTTGAGATGGTTGAATATAATTGCTTCTTGGTATATGCAAGTTGCACTGTATTTGAAATGTTTCCATTAACAACAAAGAACCATTATGGAAAAATTCTGTGGTTTTATTGTTGTCAAATGAAGATCAAAGGCAAGCAACTGGGGGATTATAATGGTTACTAATATGAAATCTGCAGTTTCAATCAAATGTCAACCTTGCTGTAGAAAAAGCTACGGTTGTGTTGTAAGATTGTGCTTTTGTTGTTTATAGGTTTCGTTGCTACGGAGTTAGGCTTTTAAATTCATAGTTTCTATGAACTGCGTTGTCTTATCCATAATGATAGGACTGTATAACACTAAAACTGTTAATCTGTGAAATACCTGTTTGTTAAATAATTAACTTTCATCTGCACTTCGGGTTAATAGCATTCTTGTCTGGACTGTCATCCTTTTATGATTCTATGTAAGGCAATGAACTTGGATGAATTTAAAGCAATAACTGACAAGTATGCAATGAACAGGCAGCACCTTAGAAATGAGAAATGTTATAGGCCTATTTGATAAAGTCACCTCTGAAAATGTTTTCATAAATGGGGAAAGATCCATCCATTTGAAACTGTGGTCATTCCCTCCTCAAGCCTTATATGACTTTCAGGTTTATAAAGGTGTTGGCATGATGAATGCATTTACAGTCATTTTATAGATGTAATTCAAATTGCTGTGCAGTTTAGGTTTAGCCTGTTGTCTTTTATTTTGTATTTTTATTTATTTATTTGTTCCATAGACAGTATTACATCAGAAAGAGAATAAAGAAACTGGGCTTGATAACCTGTTTAAAGTTATTTAGAGCAACATAACTGTGCTGCTTTTGCTTATTTGCCTATTTACATAAAATATGGTCCTACCCCACATACTGTCCATTTACTTAAGTTTGACACTAAAATAAACAAGACTGACATATTGACATCTAAAACATACGTTATTTACATGTAACTATACAGATGTACGAATGTATACACAACTTATTTAGGTTATATGAATATTTAGGTCCTGCATTAATCAGTTAATTCTATTATATTTATGATCACTGAGATTGTTTTCGGTAGCAGTTATTTAACACTGTTGACTTTTGTTTTATTTTATTTGAAATTGTAACATGTCATTCCATTCTGGGTGACTTCTGTTGCCAGAACTTTAAAGGATTACATAATTTTAAACAAGACCAGACTTTAGAATCCTAAAGTGAATGCAATTTCTGTAATTGATGCCAATCTTCATAATCCATATGACTGCACTGAGTGAGGAACAGAATCAAAGACTTTTTAAAAACAAAAACAAAGACTTTGTTTATTTTATTTTATTGTATTTTAGAGAGAAAGAAGCCAAAGTACAAGGGTGAAAAGGACTATTCACAAAAATAAGAAAGGAAAGGAAAGGAGGTGACGTGTGTGCTCTGTAGGGCTGGACGATATGGCCAAAATTTATATCACGATATATTTCTTAATTTCGGTCGATACGATATCATTCCGATATTGATATGAACACTATTAAAAAAGCCTCATAAAAACTGCCAAGAATGGCCACAGCAGATGTCTGTACCTACAAACTTATGAAACATTTATTTGCCAACTCTATTAAACCTACTCCTATAAAACTATATAATATTTTAGCAAAAAAAATGGCACAAATAAATAAATGTTCACCTTTTATTGGTATTTAGCCTTCATACAAACAAGAAATGTGAAATCACTGTCAAATAAACATCTCATATTCTTCTTATTAATATTAATGAATATTAATATCTTTAACTTCAAACTATAGGCTAACATACCAGTCAAAATTTTTGAACAGTAAGATTTTTAATGTTTTTTAAAGAATTCTCTTCTACCACAAAGCCTGCATTTATTTGATCCAAAATACAGCAAAAACAGTAACATTTTGAAATGTAACATTATAAATGTCTTTATCATCACTTTTGATCAATTTAAAACATCCTTGCTAAATGAAAGTAATAATTTCTATAATTTAAATTTCTATAATATAAATTTAAAAAAGAGCTTTTGAATGGTAGGCTGATTATTCTTATAGATTGAAACGTGCATTAACCAGGATAAAGAGTATGAAACGTGCTCCGAGTTGCTTCAGAAAACAAAAAAATTGAGCAACAACAAAAGCATGTTGCTGGAAATGGGTTTATTATTGAAAATGCAAATTGATTGTCTACCAGCAGGAAGCGCTATGAGAGCGGTGGAACAAACGGTTTCTCTAGTAATGGCTGTAAACAAAGCAGCTCCAGCATGAACGCTACTTTATCAGATAAAATAAAAATGCCATCGAAACTTTTCTGAAGACAGTCGGTTCCCTTCAGAGATACATTCATATAAAACACCAGCGATGCATTTTGATTTTGAAACGTGCAGTGCTCATGTTTATTCAACGAAGTCAAACGCCACAAATAAATAAATGTATGGGAAACACTGGTAATGTATATCGAAATATCGGAAATGTGTTAATCATATCACCGTTATTGAAAAAAATTATATCGCGATACATATTGATATTGAATTATTGTCCAGCCCTAGTGCTCTGCATTTACTACACACAAGTAGTGAACAAACAAACACACACACACACACACACTGTGAACACACGCCTGGAGCAGTGGGCAGCCATTTTTGATTGGGTGCCCTGGGAGCAGTTGGGGATTTGGTGCCTTGCTCAAGGTTCTCACTTCACTTGTGGTATTATTGAGGGTGGAAGAGAGCGCTGGTCATTCAATTCTTTCTCATTAATTAGCAACTACATGTCTACTAACTGTCAGAGTACACTGTTAGGTTAGGTTTAGGGTTAGTAGAATAAGTTGACATATACTTGAAAAGTTTCTCATAGTCAGTATGTTGTATGTTGTGGACCCATCAAAATGAAGTGTTAGAAGATATTAAGCAGACAGTCTACTAATACTCTAATGACTCCTAGTTGACATGTAGTTGCAAAGTTACTTACTGTTAGTAGAATTTCTAAAGTGGACTATTAAAATAAAGTGTTACCAACCAAACAAAGCAGTATAGAGAAAGTCTAATATGCTTTTGCCCATCCTTGAGAGGCTGTACTCTTCAGCACAATGGTATTCCCCCAAAACTCAGACATAAGAGAAATCCTTTTAAATCTCAACATAACAACCGTTAACACTAACAAATCTCCCAAAACAAATCTAATATATTAATCTTGTGCAAAAACATACAGTAAAACAACAGTTAATTTCAACATTTACGCTCATTGCAAAGTCTGAAGGAAAGCATGGTGGGTGTATGAAAGCCCAACGATACCACCCAGAGGTATCTGTATATATCTATAACCGTTTTAATGCTTGGACAAGGCTGAACAAGTCAAGACGTGCCCGGACAAGTATCAGGAGGCAGTCTATATGTATGGGTGGAGAGATTGACCTGTTCATTGTGCAAGAAAATAGACTACTGCATGTTTGTTTCTTCTGTGAGTGATTGATTAAAAAGTAAGTTATCCGTTTTATATTCTGTGCTGGTCAAACTACAATATTTTTTTTATTCTGTTATTGTCACCTGTAAACTTTACTAGATCAAGTAATGACTTGAATAGAGTGTATAATTTGCGTGAGTTGCATACTAAGTCTATGCTAAGTCAAATGTTGACACTCGTTTAATACTGCTTAACTGTGCCTGTTCCACTGCATAATTTAGATACATAAGCTAAAATTGTACACCTGTTTACGGTACATATTTAAATGATAAACACTTTGCCAAAGTAATGCAGCTATTTAAATGCAACTTGAATGCCTTTATTACCTGATATTTGATACTGTGATTTG